AACATGAATTATAAAATTCAATATTTTAGAAGAATATCGACATATTGTTCTTGAAAAAGCAATAGTACAAGACAACGTGCTCTCGAAGTAGCTAAATTATGTTTCGAAAAATATATTATTTTGGAGAAATTATAACTAGAAGCCTTTTTTTTAGTGGAGCTAAATAACATTATTCTAACTTTTTTCATCTTATTTTTATCTTTAGCGTTTCATTAATTAGCAAATTTTGTCCTTAATCATGATTTCGTCCAACATTACAATTACTGTTAGCTTGCATTAAAAGGAGGGATAAATAAGTCTTTTTGCATAATTGTATGAATTTTTTGGACAAAAATAGTAATCAAGGATACATTGTGTTAATTTGAGAATAAAAACGTAATTATAAAATTGGGGATATAATATGATAATGAGTAAAAAATAATTATTTGTAATTTATTTTATCAATTATTTTCTCTAATTTGTAATGTATTTATTTAACTCATCTCATTTTTGTCATTTATATATAATTTGCTAAACTTTTGATATTGTACTGATTGATATAAGCTTAACCTAACTTGATCAATTTCAATATTTTATCTTTAATGTTAAGTTATTTATTTAAATGTGTATTTCCTATTGTATTTAGTGTTTTTCTTTTATTTTCCATTGAATGATTGAGTTGAGTGATTTGCACAACTTTTGAGAGAATATTGTGCATTTTAGATCAATTAGTAAATGTCTTTCTTTCTTGAAGGAGATAAATATATGCTCCTAACCCTATATGATCGATTGAGTTATTTTCACAAATAATTAATGCAATACATTGGGTTTTAATCGACATAAAAACAATAGTATATTAAACAATTCGATTGTGACTAATTTCAATTGAGAGGGGCAATTAGTTAAAATACGGAGATCGGGTTTAGCATATAATATGGATAAATTATTAAATTACTTGCTGAAAAATTAATTAAATGACGGTTAAGTGAAATTATGAATCTCAACCATTTATCATCCATACTTTACTTAATTTTTATATTCGATTATTTTGTTAATTTTATTGGATTTTAAGTTATGTTATTTTCAAAATCAACTCTCAATATTGTGTATTTTACTGTTAGAATTAAATCAATTATTGTGTAATTAAGTAATCATTCTTTGTGGGATTGCCAACTCGAACTCGTTAGTTCACTTTATTACTTGTACTCGATCTCTGCGCTTGCAATATACACATTTTTATAGCAAACATGTTTCACGCCGTCGCGCGAAAAGTGGGGAGGAATTGCCCATGCAGCCGTCGGGCTATTTAAAAATCCAGTTTCCGGTGGTTTTTGGTGACTC